GTATAGTCACAGAATAGATCGACAGGACCAATACATTAACACAAGAAAAGAGCTGTAAAGCTAACGATGCTTTGCTAACTTTAGCTACTCGTCAAACAGCAAGCAGCCGAGATGGCTGGATGTGGCCAAAGGTCACCGCCGTGGTTAACCTGTATTTCTGCAAAACTTTATCTCCCTTAGTAGAACATTGGACTAACCCGACCAGCCGTATTTGATTGAAGACGGTCTATTTTTAAGGTCAAACCATATTTGTTAGTTATCACACAGCTTTATCTCCCTCAGATGTAATCTTAGAGTCAGATATTAGTTGATGTTGTGCCGCTTTTGTAACAATTATTAATAATATATACGTCTTTGGTAATACACATGATATTTGATAATATCTATGAATTGTTTATAGATAATGAACGGTAACAGATGGAGTGCGATATTTTCTCCATCAAACATGAACATCACAAGATATTTTATCAGTACTAATACAACATGATGCGGTGTGTTCAAGCACTCCAATATTATACCCAGAAAAGTACGGGGACCTTGGACACTTGTTATGAAATATGCCAAGTCATAAAATCTTCAGCGGCGATTCTGGTGAATAAAGAGACAAGATGCGAGTCACACTTGATCAGTTTTATTGCACGTTCATTTGTTGGTTCCTTATGAACGTGTTTCGGTTTTGTCCGAATAATAAATGAATGACCTGTTCTGTTCTGGATTATTGTTTTTTGTCATTTCCTCTTGGTGATGTACAGGACAAGGCTCCTACTACAAAACTTGAACTTGCGACGGAGTGTTTCACTTGAAAATTTGCAGAGGTTATGACTGTGATGTCACTGAAGATTTGATGGTTATATTAAGAATTTGACGTCATCCCTTAGTCAATGTCTGCATATCATTTGATTGATGGCTGTAGTTAAGTGAGAGGTGAGCCTGGTCACGGAAGTAAGTAAATGAACACATTTCGAGCTGCTTAATAGATATTTATTTAGCAAATATTCTAACATTTAGATCAACAAATCTGGGTTTTTTTTTACACACAAGTTATTCCCTTACACTAGAAGCAACTATAGCTTACTCTCCTTGTTTATAAATGTCCTTCATACACAACATCCGGGTCACAAACTTACTAATTTAAAGTTATATTCAAGGTACAAATTTTGTCGGGAAGAGCTTAGAAAATCGGATTAAATCTAAACGGTTAAATGTGACAAAATGATGAATATTTTAGAATAACAGGATTGTTATAAGAACACCAAAACTATCAAAAATGCACATCAAATTATCTGTGTAGAAGATTCGCCAACTCTTGGATATTCATGAAAGAAAATACCAATATATAGATAGTGTAAAACATCAAGGAAATTAGGTATATATATTATTTGGACGACAAAGAGTAGGCATACTACCCGTTGTCATGAGAAAAACAACTGATTTTGATTTTGGGCGATTGCGGTACATTTAATCTCATGTATATATGACATGTATTCGATATAGAGTTTTCCGAACTGACCTAAATCATAGCCTCTCATTTGGTGAGACATATCGGGATACAATCATTTCTATTCTGTTTTATGGATCGAAATAATGGTTGGTTAATGGAATATGTTACTGGTGTTCTTGAAGTTCGGAAAAACAAAGTCAACATCTGCCGCAAAAAGGTGCCTGCAGACTGACTTCTGATTAGTCTAAATTTCTGCATTATCCAATATCTCTTTAGATCTGTGTAAAGGTATGCAATGTCACTACGAACACAACTGCGACCTGCGTTTTTTTTTGTTTTTTTTTTCTAAACGTCCGTGGAAGGTTGGTCCTAGTCGGTCGACATTTAGATACTGACCGCTTTTTGTAAACATTTGGTATGCAGATGTATTATGTCATTGCGATCATTTTGTATCATTTGCGACTACAGGACGCATTATGTAACGGTCCTTGCTGCAACTACATGCGTTTTATACAAAATATTCCCCTAACTATGATTAACAAACATGGCATGTATCCTCTTCTAGGAACTATTGACAAGATGATCATCCCGTTATGTCTGCCAGGACTTTCATGGCCACGAGATGACACCGTGTATTCAATGAAGAACAATATTGCAAATAAAACAAATCAGAATTACGGGCCCTGATTGAACCACAACTTTGATATTGGTAAAAGTAAACGGATCCAAGAATTTTACCGCTAACACTGTTATACGAATACACCCTCTTGTGTACCTCAAATCTGAACCACAACTTTGATATTAGTAAAAGTAAACGGATCCAAGAATTTTACCGCTAACACTGTTATACGAATACACCCTCTTGTCCCTCTCAATCAGTACCTCAAATTCCAAAAACCATTAAGCAGGGAATAAAAGCGCCTTTTTCAGGTATTTGGCAAGTACCGGCCTTGGGACAAATTCCATTGTCGTTCTCAATTAGAAAGCATTCATTGCATAATGAACGACGCATTCGTTCTCAATAGCAAGCTTTTTGGATAACACGGGCGCATCATACATATAACTAGTACTAATTGTAACGGATGGCCGTTACAGAAGTCCCCCAACAACCCCTGTTGGACTTAAAACATTTGGCAGAATCAGACAACATCTAAATTTCGACCAATAAAAGGCATCAATTTTATTACCATGGCAACTGACATTTTCGAAACTGTTACCATTGTTTTCTGCATCTCTCAAAACCCCTATGTACCAAATCTGGGTAGAATCAGACATGTAAATTTCGACCAATCAGAGGGTCCATTTCGTTACCATGGCAACTGAGCTTTTCGAAACTGTTACCATTGTGTTCGGAATCCCTCAAAACCCATATGTATCAACTTTGGGCAGAATCAGACATCTTTTAACTTTCGACCAATCAAAGGCCCCAATTTCGTTACCATGGCAACTGACTTTATCGAAACTGTTACCATTGTTTTCTGCATCTCTCAAACCCCCTATGTACCAAATCTGGGTACAATCAGACATGTAAATTCCGACCAATCAGAGGGTCCATTTCGTTCCCATGGCACCTGACTTTCTCGAAACTGTTACCATTGTGGTCGGAATCCCTCAAAACCTATATGTATCAACTTTGGGCAGAATCAGTCATCTTTTAACTTTCGACCAATCAAAGGCCCCAATTTCGTTTCCATGGCAACTGACTTTCTCGAAACTGTTCCCATTGTGTTCGGCATCCCTCAAAACCCCTATGTACCAAATCTGGGTAGAATCAGACACGTAAATTTCGACCAATCAGAGGGTACATTTCGTTACCATGGCAACTGAGCTGTTCGAAACTGTTACCATTGTGGTCGGAATCCCTCAAAACCCATATGTTTCAACTTTGGGCAGAATCAGAAATCTTTTAACTTTCGACCAATAAAAGGCATCAATTTTATTACCATGGCAACTGACATTTTCGAAACTGTTACCATTGTTTTTTGCATGCCTTAAAACCCCTATGCACCAATTCTGGGCAGAATCAGACAATATTTAAATTTCGACCAACCAGAAGGCCAAATTTCGTTACCATGGCAACTGAGCTTTTCGAACTGTTACCATTGTGTTCGGCATCCCTCAAAACCCCTATGTACCCATTCCAAGCAGAATCAGACTACATCTATATTTAAACCAATTAGAACGCAGTATATGGTAACCATTTTGTCAAATTAGAAAACAAATGTCGCAGTTGAGTTTGCAATGCCATATTACTCATACATACTAAATTTCAACGAAATCTAACTACAACGCAGCTTCGACCAATCAGTAACCAGTATATGGCATCCATTTTGTTTAATTAGAAAAAGGATGTCATAGTCGAGTTCGCGGTACCTCCATACACATACATGCCAAATTTGGAATGCATTTGAAAATATCTATAAAACATGTAAAATAGCATAGGTGACATTGGCTAACCTTAGCGAACACCTTTAGAAATTTTAAATTCCCAAAAATTTCAAAAATTCATAGCGGCCATATTGGACTTCCGGTCGAGATAAAAATAGCTTGTTGCACACCTAGACCCCCTAATGAGTATATGTGTGTAGTTTCATGATTATCCGCCCAGTAGTTTCTGAGAAAACCTCTGGACAAGTTCATGGCTGAAGAAGAAGAAGAAAACAGAATAATAATAATAAGAAGAAGAAGAAGAAGAAACGTAGTAAAAACAATAAGTCCCCAAAACTTTGATTTGGGGGACTTAATAATAATAAATAATAATAAGAGACGGAGAAAAATTAATAAGCCCCCCACTTTGTTTTGGGGGACTTAATAAGAAACGGAGAAAAACCCCAAAACTTTGTTTTGGGGGACTTAATAATAATAAATAATAATAAGAAACGGAGTAAAATCAATAAGTCCCCCACTTTGTTTTGGGGGACTTAATAAGAAACGGAGTAAAACCCCAAAACTTTGTTTTGGGGAACTTAATAATAAGAAGAAGAAGAAACGGATTAAAAACAATAAGTCCCCAAAACTTTATTTTGGGGGACTTAACTATAACATAATATTTATGACGCTTAATGATTGGATGTTAGCTTACAGATAAAAAAAGAAATCGACATTACATTGCTTATATGTACAGCATATCCTCTATTGAAGAAAACCCCTAGGAATATAGGGGGTACGAGATCAGAAAAGATTCCAATGTATATGTCCGTCTGGTACCATGTCCCTGGTGCTGGTCATATGGCTAGCTGCAAAAAACAGATGAATATATAAAGTTGTGTTCTACTGTTCCTAGATGGACGATATTATTTTCATTTCACTTAAAATGGATTTATTGTTCAAAGGCAAGACTTTATAAATGTTGTTGTCTTGAATATTTTAATCCTAAAATAACAATTTTTTCACAATTCGTTACAAATATCAGTCTCTTACTATGCAGACTTATTAAAACGATGAAAACGGTAACAAAAGTACACTATAATATTTTCTGGCACTTAATCGTCTATGATTCTATGGAGGAAAGATGTTAAAGGAATAGAAATAGCAAACGAATATCGAGAATCATACCTACCTCTGTAATACAATCACGGACAACATCCCTAAAGTGCCCTGTCAGCATCTGAACATTGTTGTTAGCTGCCGTCCATGGGTTCAAGACTGTGCTCCGCAGAACAGTTAGTTTTTCGTCAGAATCGTCGACTATCTATAACAGGAATAACTATAAGACAGCAAATCGTTGACAATGATAGGAATAACCTCTTTGATTTCTTCTTAACGTTCTCGTCAAAGCTCAGTTAATTTTAAGAAGGATGTCTAAGCAGACAAGGCCGGCAAATAGAGTCGAAATTAGAGCGTGGAAAAAAACCTAAAGATGTTGCAAAGTTCAACACGTCGCTTTTCTTCAAACTTTTAGTGGTTTTGCAGAAGTCAAAAATAAAAATTTCGGATGACAAGTGCACAAGAAGCGATCGCAATATGTCGATTGACAATTGATTAGTGTTAGGTAGCCTAACAAACCGTTTGTACACGTTATCAGTTTTCAGTCATGACGATACCCGATGTCGAGATGCAATATTTTGATGTTTATGAGATAATAATGTTTTATTACTATTGATAAAAGAACAACAAAAAAAGCTGTAACTTTTCTTATCTTACCCCAAGTCTTAGTTTGAAACCATCTAATATTTTGTCACAATTTAATTTCGAGATTTGTGACTTCAAAATGAAAAGTGGTACGTTGTTGACACTTGTACATCCAGGGTCTTTGTGCGACAACTTATCATAGACAGCCAGGTTCAGACGATTACATCGTTCACGACTTGTGTTGCCCTTGATATTCACAGCGAAGGCATTAATAGGCAAGTCCGAACCAACTTCGGTGAGGAACTGCATTGCTTCCACGTCCTAAATATAATATAGTTTATGTTTATGTTGCCCTAGAAATATAGGGACTACTTAGTGAATTTGTTTTATATTCAATCTTGTAAATAAAATCCTTCATGATAATATAGTTAGATACCACTTATGAACAATTCATGCCAAAAAGTCAGCAGGAAAAATGCATTTTTGGCATTCTTTACCAATAATGAAAAAATTCTTAATGGTATTGCTAAACATTTTAGTGGCAACTGAACTTTTAAGAATGCTAAGACGCGACTTGTGTAAAGTTACAGTAAATACGTAAACCCTTAGTGCGCTAAGTCAAACAAACCCAAGCTATAATGATGTAGTTATTATTTCTTGTTGTCCAGTAGAAAGTTCCCTATTGTATTCGTGTCAATATTGGACCGAATAAAAGTGACTCTTAAAACTTTTTTAAAGCTAGTGAAGGTTTCAAAATGCAATACACTGCACATGTTTTTATATTGGATTGCAATTTTGTTCACGTAGATACCCCCTCGAGAGATATGCGCGCTCTGGAATATATTTCGTCCGCAAAATCACTGGTTTCTATGGGGATTATGTGCTGGTTAGTTTTTTATTTGTTATACATAGATCTTTATATGAATTCGTAACCGGGAAAGGAGACTGACTGTTCCCATTCTTGATTATAATAATAGAGCAAATACCTGATTAAGTTCACTATATACGTAGATATCGCCTCGCGGGTGTATTTCGTTCAAAAAATCACTTGCTTAGTTATAGCTCATGTCTACTGGAATGATATTCTGGTTACTTTTTTTTATTATTTATTATATTAGAATTTCAGATCGATTTGTTATCGGGAAAGTAGACTGATTATACCAATCAATTATCATAATAGAGCAATTACCTGATTAAGTTCACTGTATGATGTTCCAAATATCCGTTGCCTTATGAATATCCTGGCCGTGCTCTCGTCAAGGCCCGTAGTGGGGGGTACAGGGATCAGAGGAACACACACAAAATCGTCGTCAGGATCTGCAGCAGTCAGCCAAGCGCAGTAAAATAGTTTAGCCCCCATCATTGCTTGGCCCAGGATCCGACCGTAACCGTGACGATGCAGTCCAATCACCTTGGACAATAATGTAAATTCCTGAGTTGATCATCAGTACTGGTATATTACAGTGATTACGAACATTTTGTCCCATACGGCGTTTTTACTACATATCTCAATGTCAGTATCTCTTTTCTAACAATGAATGTTTACGCCTCGCTCGATGAAACGGCGTTTGATGCCGAAATTAAGCTGAACGAATAGAACGTAGTTTTACAATATGCATATTTTACTAGGATAACAGTATGACATTAATCTTCAAAATATGCTGTAATATTTATATTATAATCTTAAAATAAGAACATATACGATTAAAAGACGATTGTTATAGTAATAAATCACATAATACGAAACAAACGCCTCTGATGAAATCAAATATAAAAAATAGCGTCGGACATTGTTTACTGTTAGTTAGTATTGTACCTTGTGAGCGAGATAAACGCCTGCTGCACCAGCCCCGGGTTTACTTGTCTCCAATCCAAAGCAGTTAATCGGTTTATCTTTGTCGATTGGTAGCATGTCTGTAACACTTCCTATGAATGTGTTCATATTACCATTCCTGTAGCAGAGTGCACCTGCTGGATAAGGGCAATATCCAGTTTTGTGTGGATCGATGGTTACTGTATCGACGTTCGCCAGGCTATGGAACTGTTGACGGGTGTATTCACTCATAGGAAAATTTGGGAGAGGGCTCGAGTCTTCTTTTGTATCTCTCTTCAGCATTGAAACGAAGTAGCCTCCAAATGCAGCGTCTACTAGGATAGCGAAATTCATGCCCTGCAGTACAAATATCCTGCATATTTGTATTTATAAAAAGTCTGTGCAGGTTTTCTTTTGTTATAGACACTTGATACAATGTAAAGTTACATAAAAAATAGAGAAAAGCAATCAAGTCAAATATACAAGCATGCGTTTTGGTTTATTTATGGTTTAGGTCGTATGAACATTGTGTTCACAACTGATGTAGCCGGGCCATAACATTCTATCCGATTATATTTTATTTGCAAAACCGTGCTGGGTAGGAGAAATACTATGCGTTTTGTATCCCACTGTGTGATCGTTTGGTTTGGTTTTATTTTGTTTAACGTGCTATGCCTACAAGCGCGGATATGAATTTTCGCAAGCAACCGTCCGGAATTTCTCAAGAAATCAATGTAAGTGTGCCCTGAAATTCATTTTACGGACTTGATAACCAACATTTTTACACTTTATTTCATTTCCTAAGTAAATGACTTAAACACAAGTCACCAACATGTTCTTTGGCACGAAAGAACAACACCACAAACTGTCCCACGGAGACTGAATTATTGCGTTTATCGGGAGGATATTATTACTATGATTAAACACAAATTTTGCTGTATATGAGGTTTTCGTGTAAAGTCAGCTTTACAAGATGAGATAACGAAATTTACCTTATTTCGAAGTTCCATCCGTAGTTGCAGAACCTCCGATACGGCATCCACTGCTCCGTACTCTGTCGAACCCACCACACAAACTACTGCAACCACCGGCACCATCTTGTCAAGCATTTCCTGGAGGACCACCCGCAATGCTAGGTAACATGAGATGCGTTTTATTGTGCACTGTTCAGATTGTTTTCGAAAAAAACATGTTTATAAACTTTATGTTTATATCAGCGAAGGCGAGATAAGGACGGTGTCCTGATATTTATTGCCCAATTGTACAATGGTTTATCACATTATTAACATACCGAGAGCACAAAGGTGTTGTCAGTATGCATACTAAAAAACTGTTCACATACCTGATATATCCATCCTGGCATATTGGTCCAGAGGAACTGACACCATATTCCTCGACCCGATCCCGAGCAAAGTCGCAGCCCTTTGGAGGGAAAAATGGCTAGCCACTGAACCAATGATGACTGGGGCCGATTTCAGTTGATGGTCATTGTAAAATGAAACAAATCCGATATCGGCGATATTGTACCTTCAATAAAATAATTGACGGTTATTTATTTATTTCATTCTGTCCATTTGATATTGATTTAAATCTTCATGATCTATCATCGTGTACGATCCCACAGCTGTATATTTATTCAATTTTATTTGTTTTTAAGCTTTGGACGTTTTTTGTCGCAGGATTATACTTAAATAACATTCAATATAATTTTAACATAAAAAATCAAACCGTCATTAATACTTTACATTAACAGTTGACCCTGCAGATTGTTTGTAAAGTAAGCTTGTTGTTTCCAAATTCATGTTTTCTTTTTTAACTTTTTAAAAATAGTTCTGTAACAATGAGTACGTTGTTTTATGCATTTTCGGACTGATGATCACTTCTAAAGTCTATCACCATTTGTTAAAATTCATCCAAAATAGTGCGATTTAAGCGGGTTTGTCAGGTCGGATCCTAATAAAGGATTAGTTATGATCACGAATAAAAAAAAGCGAATTGCTTTTACTTAGATTATTCTCCATTTATATCGACGATGAAGCAACCACGTAGGTATTACTTTTACTGATAGTTCATTAGAAATATGTACCTCTGGATGATATTCTTGAATTCTTTTTCTCCCAATCCACTATTTTTCTGTGTCTCCTGTGGCAGCTCCACTACATTGTTAATGTCTAAGTTGAGTAAATCCCATGCGGATGCTTCGATGATCTTCTGTTTTATTCCGAGCCTTGGAATAAATACAGTCATACCACGAGCCGATATCAAAGACCTATCCGTTTGTATTGCCTTCTGTACCGCTAAAGGAAAGTATTTCGCATTTCGAGAAGACCACAGAGCTTCCACATTTGATACGGTACCACCGCTCGTTATGTGGCCCCATGGTTTTGACGAGGCATCGGCGTCAAATCCAATCATGTGACAGAGTTGATCTGCAACCTCTTTTTCCAACTGGATCGTCACAGGGCCTCCTCCACTAGCGGCGTTGTTTGAATTAGTCATCCAGGCAGACAGATAACCTAGCTTTGCAGCTATAGTTGTGTCATGAGCAACATTCCCCTACAAATTATTCCGAACAAAAGAAAAAACATGAGAGTACAATCCTATAAGCTGTTCACGTTAAAACAAATGAATCACTTCCATAATCTACATTTCAGGAGAGTTAATAGTGATTCAATTGTCAAAAGGTGCGAAGTCAACTAAGTACTTGTGTTGTCGGGTGGCGCAGTGGATAACGCGCTCGCGTTTCACCAAGGCGACTGTTTTATTTTACTTAGTGCCCCTTCATACACAAAACAAGAGGCCCATGGGCCTTAACGGTCACCTGAGTCTACAGTATTTATTTTTGTTGTTGAAATATGTACCAATTTGAGTAAAAAATAGTATAATGTTAACTTAACTTTGTCAGGACCATGAGCTGATCATTCCTAGACCAATTTTAAGTGAGATCGGCCTATTAGAACTTAGTAGCAAAATAGCGGCCATGGCAGCCAAATTGTATTTCTGATTGACCCGAAAAATAACAACACTTTGTCAGGACCATGATTCGATCATTCCTACAAAGTTTCAGTTCAATCGGCCAAGTAGATCTTTACTTTAAGTTTGAAATAGTTTTCCAAAATGGCAGCCGTGGTGGCCATATTGGATTTCTGATCGACCCGAAAAATAACAACACTTTGTCAGGACCATGAGTCAATCATTCCTACAAAGTTTCAGTTCAATCGGCCTAGCAGAACTTGACTTTAAGTTTGAAATATGTTTTCAAAATGGTGGCCGTGGCGGCCATATTGGATTTATGATTGACCTGAAAAATAACAACACTTTGTCAGGACCATGAGTCGATCATTCCTACAAACTTTAAGTTCAATCGGTCCAGCAGAACTTGACTTTAAGTTTGAAATAGGTTTTCAAAATGGCGGCCGTGGCGGCCATATTGGATTTCTGATCGACCCGAAAAATAACAACACTTTGTCAGGACCATGAGGCGATCATTCCTACCAACTTTCAGTTCAATCGGTCCAGCAGAACTTGACTTTAAGTTTGAAATAGGTTTTCAAAATGGCGGCCGTGGCGGCCATATTGGATTTCTGATCGACCCGAAAAATAACAACACTTTGTCAGGACCATGAGGCGATCATTCCTACCAACTTTCAGTTCAATCGGTCCAGCAGAACTTGACTTTAAGTTTGAAATAGGTTTTCAAAATGGCGGCCGTGGCGGCCATATTGGATTTCTGATCGACCCGAAAAATAACAACACTTTGTCAGGACCATGAGGCGATCATTCCTACCAACTTTCAGTTCAATCGGTCCAGCAGAACTTGACTTTAAGTTTGAAATAGGTTTTCAAAATGGCGGCCGTGGCGGCCATATTGGATTTCTGATCGACCCGAAAAATAACAACACTTTGTCAGGACCATGAGGCGATCATTCCTACCAACTTTCAGTTCAATCGGTCCAGCAGAACTTGACTTTAAGTTTGAAATAGGTTTTCAAAATGGCGGCCGTGGCGGCCATATTGGATTTCTGATCGACCCGAAAAATAACAACACTTTGTCAGGACCATGAGGCGATCATTCCTACCAACTTTCAGTTCAATCGGTCCAGCAGAACTTGACTTTAAGTTTGAAATAGGTTTTCAAAATGGCGGCCGTGGCGGCCATATTGGATTTCTGATCGACCCGAAAAATAACAACACTTTGTCAGGACCATGAGGCGATCATTCCTACCAACTTTCAGTTCAATCGGTCCAGCAGAACTTGACTTTAAGTTTGAAATAGGTTTTCAAAATGGCGGCCGTGGCGGCCATATTGGATTTCTGATCGACCCGAAAAATAACAACACTTTGTCAGGACCATGAGGCGATCATTCCTACCAACTTTCAGTTCAATCGGTCCAGCAGAACTTGACTTTAAGTTTGAAATAGGTTTTCAAAATGGCGGCCGTGGCGGCCATATTGGATTTCTGATCGACCCGAAAAATAACAACACTTTGTCAGGACCATGAGGCGATCATTCCTACCAACTTTCAGTTCAATCGGTCCAGCAGAACTTGACTTTAAGTTTGAAATAGGTTTTCAAAATGGCGGCCGTGGCGGCCATATTGGATTTCTGATCGACCCGAAAAATAACAACACTTTGTCAGGACCATGAGGCGATCATTCCTACCAACTTTCAGTTCAATCGGTCCAGCAGAACTTGACTTTAAGTTTGAAATAGGTTTTCAAAATGGCGGCCGTGGCGGCCATATTGGATTTCTGATCGACCCGAAAAATAACAACACTTTGTCAGGACCATGAGGCGATCATTCCTACCAACTTTCAGTTCAATCGGTCCAGCAGAACTTGACTTTAAGTTTGAAATAGGTTTTCAAAATGGCGGCCGTGGCGGCCATATTGGATTTCTGATCGACCCGAAAAATAACAACACTTTGTCAGGACCATGAGGCGATCATTCCTACCAACTTTCAGTTCAATCGGTCCAGCAGAACTTGACTTTAAGTTTGAAATAGGTTTTCAAAATGGCGGCCGTGGCGGCCATATTGGATTTCTGATCGACCCGAAAAATAACAACACTTTGTCAGGACCATGAGGCGATCATTCCTACCAACTTTCAGTTCAATCGGTCCAGCAGAACTTGACTTTAAGTTTGAAATAGGTTTTCAAAATGGCGGCCGTGGCGGCCATATTGGATTTCTGATCGACCCGAAAAATAACAACACTTTGTCAGGACCATGAGGCGATCATTCCTACCAACTTTCAGTTCAATCGGTCCAGCAGAACTTGACTTTAAGTTTGAAATAGGTTTTCAAAATGGCGGCCGTGGCGGCCATATTGGATTTCTGATCGACCCGAAAAATAACAACACTTTGTCAGGACCATGAGGCGATCATTCCTACCAACTTTCAGTTCAATCGGTCCAGCAGAACTTGACTTTAAGTTTGAAATAGGTTTTCAAAATGGCGGCCGTGGCGGCCATATTGGATTTCTGATCGACCCGAAAAATAACAACACTTTGTCAGGACCATGAGGCGATCATTCCTACCAACTTTCAGTTCAATCGGTCCAGCAGAACTTGACTTTAAGTTTGAAATAGGTTTTCAAAATGGCGGCCGTGGCGGCCATATTGGATTTCTGATCGACCCGAAAAATAACAACACTTTGTCAGGACCATGAGGCGATCATTCCTACCAACTTTCAGTTCAATCGGTCCAGCAGAACTTGACTTTAAGTTTGAAATAGGTTTTCAAAATGGCGGCCGTGGCGGCCATATTGGATTTCTGATCGACCCGAAAAATAACAACACTTTGTCAGGACCATGAGGCGATCATTCCTACCAACTTTCAGTTCAATCGGTCCAGCAGAACTTGACTTTAAGTTTGAAATAGGTTTTCAAAATGGCGGCCGTGGCGGCCATATTGGATTTCTGATCGACCCGAAAAATAACAACACTTTGTCAGGACCATGAGGCGATCATTCCTACCAACTTTCAGTTCAATCGGTCCAGCAGAACTTGACTTTAAGTTTGAAATAGGTTTTCAAAATGGCGGCCGTGGCGGCCATATTGGATTTCTGATCGACCCGAAAAATAACAACACTTTGTCAGGACCATGAGGCGATCATTCCTACCAACTTTCAGTTCAATCGGTCCAGCAGAACTTGACTTTAAGTTTGAAATAGGTTTTCAAAATGGCGGCCGTGGCGGCCATATTGGATTTCTGATCGACCCGAAAAATAACAACACTTTGTCAGGACCATGAGGCGATCATTCCTACCAACTTTCAGTTCAATCGGTCCAGCAGAACTTGACTTTAAGTTTGAAATAGGTTTTCAAAATGGCGGCCGTGGCGGCCATATTGGATTTCTGATCGACCCGAAAAATAACAACACTTTGTCAGGACCATGAGGCGATCATTCCTACCAACTTTCAGTTCAATCGGTCCAGCAGAACTTGACTTTAAGTTTGAAATAGGTTTTCAAAATGGCGGCCGTGGCGGCCATATTGGATTTCTGATCGACCCGAAAAATAACAACACTTTGTCAGGACCATGAGGCGATCATTCCTACCAACTTTCAGTTCAATCGGTCCAGCAGAACTTGACTTTAAGTTTGAAATAGGTTTTCAAAATGGCGGCCGTGGCGGCCATATTGGATTTCTGATCGACCCGAAAAATAACAACACTTTGTCAGGACCATGAGGCGATCATTCCTACCAACTTTCAGTTCAATCGGTCCAGCAGAACTTGACTTTAAGTTTGAAATAGGTTTTCAAAATGGCGGCCGTGGCGGCCATATTGGATTTCTGATCGACCCGAAAAATAACAACACTTTGTCAGGACCATGAGGCGATCATTCCTACCAACTTTCAGTTCAATCGGTCCAGCAGAACTTGACTTTAAGTTTGAAATAGGTTTTCAAAATGGCGGCCGTGGCGGCCATATTGGATTTCTGATCGACCCGAAAAATAACAACACTTTGTCAGGACCATGAGGCGATCATTCCTACCAACTTTCAGTTCAATCGGTCCAGCAGAACTTGACTTTAAGTTTGAAATAGGTTTTCAAAATGGCGGCCGTGGCGGCCATATTGGATTTCTGATCGACCCGAAAAATAACAACACTTTGTCAGGACCATGAGGCGATCATTCCTACCAACTTTCAGTTCAATCGGTCCAGCAGAACTTGACTTTAAGTTTGAAATAGGTTTTCAAAATGGCGGCCGTGGCGGCCATATTGGATTTCTGATCGACCCGAAAAATAACAACACTTTGTCAGGACCATGAGGCGATCATTCCTACCAACTTTCAGTTCAATCGGTCCAGCAGAACTTGACTTTAAGTTTGAAATAGGTTTTCAAAATGGCGGCCGTGGCGGCCATATTGGATTTCTGATCGACCCGAAAAATAACAACACTTTGTCAGGACCATGAGGCGATCATTCCTACCAACTTTCAGTTCAATCGGTCCAGCAGAACTTGACTTTAAGTTTGAAATAGGTTTTCAAAATGGCGGCCGTGGCGGCCATATTGGATTTCTGATCGACCCGAAAAATAACAACACTTTGTCAGGACCATGAGGCGATCATTCCTACCAACTTTCAGTTCAATCGGTCCAGCAGAACTTGACTTTAAGTTTGAAATAGGTTTTCAAAATGGCGGCCGTGGCGGCCATATTGGATTTCTGATCGACCCGAAAAATAACAACACTTTGTCAGGACCATGAGGCGATCATTCCTACCAACTTTCAGTTCAATCGGTCCAGCAGAACTTGACTTTAAGTTTGAAATAGGTTTTCAAAATGGCGGCCGTGGCGGCCATATTGGATTTCTGATCGACCCGAAAAATAACAACACTTTGTCAGGACCATGAGGCGATCATTCCTACCAACTTTCAGTTCAATCGGTCCAGCAGAACTTGACTTTAAGTTTGAAATAGGTTTTCAAAATGGCGGCCGTGGCGGCCATATTGGATTTCTGATCGACCCGAAAAATAACAACACTTTGTCAGGACCATGAGGCGATCATTCCTACCAACTTTCAGTTCAATCGGTCCAGCAGAACTTGACTTTAAGTTTGAAATAGGTTTTCAAAATGGCGGCCGTGGCGGCCATATTGGATTTCTGATCGACCCGAAAAATAACAACACTTTGTCAGGACCATGAGGCGATCATTCCTACCAACTTTCAGTTCAATCGGTCCAGCAGAACTTGACTTTAAGTTTGAAATAGGTTTTCAAAATGGCGGCCGTGGCGGCCATATTGGATTTCTGATCGACCCGAAAAATAACAACACTTTGTCAGGACCATGAGGCGATCATTCCTACCAACTTTCAGTTCAATCGGTCCAGCAGAACTTGACTTTAAGTTTGAAATAGGTTTTCAAAATGGCGGCCGTGGCGGCCATATTGGATTTCTGATCGACCCGAAAAATAACAACACTTTGTCAGGACCATGAGGCGATCATTCCTACCAACTTTCAGTTCAATCGGTCCAGCAGAACTTGACTTTAAGTTTGAAATAGGTTTTCAAAATGGCGGCCGTGGCGGCCATATTGGATTTCTGATCGACCCGAAAAATAACAACACTTTGTCAGGACCATGAGGCGATCATTCCTACCAACTTTCAGTTCAATCGGTCCAGCAGAACTTGACTTTAAGTTTGAAATAGGTTTTCAAAATGGCGGCCGTGGCGGCCATATTGGATTTCTGATCGACCCGAAAAATAACAACACTTTGTCAGGACCATGAGGCGATCATTCCTACCAACTTTCAGTTCAATCGGTCCAGCAGAACTTGACTTTAAGTTTGAAATAGGTTTTCAAAATGGCGGCCGTGGCGGCCATATTGGATTTCTGATCGACCCGAAAAATAACAACACTTTGTCAGGACCATGAGGCGATCATTCCTACCAACTTTCAGTTCAATCGGTCCAGCAGAACTTGACTTTAAGTTTGAAATAGGTTTTCAAAATGGCGGCCGTGGCGGCCATATTGGATTTCTGATCGACCCGAAAAATAACAACACTTTGTCAGGACCATGAGGCGATCATTCCTACCAACTTTCAGTTCAATCGGTCCAGCAGAACTTGACTTTAAGTTTGAAATAGGTTTTCAAAATGGCGGCCGTGGCGGCCATATTGGATTTCTGATCGACCCGAAAAATAACAACACTTTGTCAGGACCATGAGGCGATCATTCCTACCAACTTTCAGTTCAATCGGTCCAGCAGAACTTGACTTTAAGTTTGAAATAGGTTTTCAAAATGGCGGCCGTGGCGGCCATATTGGATTTCTGATCGACCCGAAAAATAACAACACTTTGTCAGGACCATGAGGCGATCATTCCTACCAACTTTCAGTTCAATCGGTCCAGCAGAACTTGACTTTAAGTTTGAAATAGGTTTTCAAAATGGCGGCCGTGGCGGCCATATTGGATTTCTGATCGACCCGAAAAATAACAACACTTTGTCAGGACCATGAGGCGATCATTCCTACCAACTTTCAGTTCAATCGGTCCAGCAGAACTTGACTTTAAGTTTGAAATAGGTTTTCAAAATGGCGGCCGTGGCGGCCATATTGGATTTCTGATCGACCCGAAAAATAACAACACTTTGTCAGGACCATGAGGCGATCATTCCTACCAACTTTCAGTTCAATCGGTCCAGCAGAACTTGACTTTAAGTTTGAAATAGGTTTTCAAAATGGCGGCCGTGGCGGCCATATTGGATTTCTGATCGACCCGAAAAATAACAACACTTTGTCAGGACCATGAGGCGATCATTCCTACCAACTTTCAGTTCAATCGGTCCAGCAGAACTTGACTTTAAGTTTGAAATAGGTTTTCAAAATGGCGGCCGTGGCGGCCATATTGGATTTCTGATCGACCCGAAAAATAACAACACTTTGTCAGGACCATGAGGCGATCATTCCTACCAACTTTCAGTTCAATCGGTCCAGCAGAACTTGACTTTAAGTTTGAAATAGGTTTTCAAAATGGCGGCCGTGGCGGCCATATTGGATTTCTGATCGACCCGAAAAATAACAACACTTTGTCAGGACCATGAGGCGATCATTCCTACCAACTTTCAGTTCAATCGGTCCAGCAGAACTTGACTTTAAGTTTGAAATAGGTTTTCAAAATGGCGGCCGTGGCGGCCATATTGGATTTCTGATCGACCCGAAAAATAACAACACTTTGTCAGGACCATGAGGCGATCATTCCTACCAACTTTCAGTTCAATCGGTCCAGCAGAACTTGACTTTAAGTTTGAAATAGGTTTTCAAAATGGCGGCCGTGGCGGCCATATTGGATTTCTGATCGACCCGAAAAATAACAACACTTTGTCAGGACCATGAGGCGATCATTCCTACCAACTTTTAGTTCAATCGGCCCAGCAGAACTTGACTTTAAGTTTGAAATGTAAAATGTTAACGGACGACGGACGACGGACGACGACGGACGAAAACGGATAGCAATAGGTCACTTGAGCTAAAGCTCAGGTGACCTAAAAACTTATTTTAAACTGTTGAATTTGTTATTTATCACTGACAAAGGATAAATCGGCATGTGAATTAGTCAAAAACAATATAAATGATGTACATGTCCATACTAATGAATTATTAAGTTCAAATATAACACATTCTTGAATTACTTGAATTGAATTATCCCTTGCATAATTAACATTGCTTACCTGATATCGTACGCTAGGGAGCGGAATTGATTCCTGCAGTCTACAATTTAAGTTGTCTAGTTCATCTTTCATCTTCTCCATTTCCTTTCTATATGTGTTTGACGCCTTCATGGCTGGTGTGATGCCAGGTTCGTCGTCAGGGAAGTAGTTTTTTGGCCTTATATTACGTCTAATTGTTTCAAAAGCGAGATCAAAGAACTCATCTTTGTTTTCAGATGTGTGTCCTACAAACCAGGCTCCCAGTTTCTCCCACTGTTCGTCGACAGGGTTGTAGTTGATGGCGACCTGCTTATTCTGATATCTGAAATTTTCGTTTTCCATACTCCTTGGTTGTCCCCCTGCATATCTAGGATGGAGAAAATAATACACCTGCTGATCTCGCTGCATGAGCGTAAGTGGCGTCTTATGTGAACACGCACAACTTCCACCCATCCCGACCCGCTGGACTGGGGATTTACATATGTTACCTGCATATATTCGGGATCTCTAAGACGACCAAAACAAATCTGCTGCAACCATTGCAATCTTTATTTTTCTATCTACTTCTGAAGTACCTTTCGTTTTGGTGCATAACTCACATGCAAAACGTTCGCCCATGTAAGGTTCTGTCTGCATGCCGGGATATATAACGTAGTCCTTGAAATAGTACTTGTTCATTCTAACAATTTATCTTATCCTAATTTACAGAGCTTTTCTCATTAAATCAACGTAAAATTGAAGATATTGATTCTTGCCTAACGTTCAGTAAAAAGGGTAATGACAATAGCAGACTCACCCGTTGTCAGTGTAATGCAACACACATGGAGGCAACCCTAAATTACCCTAGCCGTTGATAACACGTTAAACCCTGTATTACCAAATATACCTTGGTTGTATTGTGAAGAAAAGAACACCGTTATGATCAACAAAATATTAAGCTTTACACATTTGACTTCATTTAATACTGCCGTCGAACGACGGGACGTATACCTGCGTTACATGAGTTGGCGGCCTACCGGACGGGCGCGCACAAGGTGTCTGCGCGATATGTCAAGTAATTAACTTCAAACTACATAATACCTACATATGTAAGACAAGTTCGATCATTAAAAATAAAGTTGACCGAGATATACCCTCTTAAACATTGTTTTAATGGTGTCCGCTTGATATCTCAAAATATTTTCTACTGTTTATTTTAAACTTTAGTAGACGGTTATTTATAATACCAAGAGGCCCATGGGCCTTAACGGTCACCTGGGTCCTGATATATCTATAAAGAGAGTCGATTTTTTTTTTTGCAAAACATGACCAGAAATAGTATCCAACTGTTGTTTACGCAGTTATGTCTCCGTAATCCGTGTCGAAACAATATATTCCATACAATATGGCGAGTACAAAAACGCTTCTGCATGAGACTCTTGAATTACTTTCGAATATATATAATCTTATTTATTTTCTTTGCCATTGACGAAGCACACACATTATACTATAACGCGGTGTATAACTGAAACGGCCTATCCTTACTGCTTCATCGGCACATACAGAAAATCCAGACATAAGTCCTTATTAATTTATTATCAAAATGAATGACATTTTTGGGAAAACATGGATTTACAGATTACTTTATTCAATCAAGTCATGTGTCAAATTGAAATTTTACTTACAATTGCGGCTTCTTGAATCCACCAATCCGTAGCGTTTGACTGTGTTTTAAGATATCGTGTTTTCGACCTTGTGTAAGCTACTTGAATGTAGACCGTCAGGAAGACATCATTATGCTAATCAAATTTCAAGCTATATGATTCGTCATCGGTCTGCTTTTAGATGTTACGCCTCTGTACATTTGCATTTAGCGAATCAGCGTCATTTACCTTTATGCTTAAAATGTATTTGTTAATAAAATATTTCAACGATTGGAAACAGAATTTTCCATTGTATGCCTTCTGTAATGCAAGTTCGAAAATATATCTATAAGAATTAATAAGGCATTAATGAATAAAAATTACGAGATGCTTTATGAATATTAAACATATCAGTCCAAAGCAGCTGATACTGTAGCAGTTTATGCAATCTGCAGCGAGCAACATCTGCTTATTGTCTGTGTGACTGAATAAACAGCTTGAGGGTTAATGATGTTGTCTTGAGGTAATGCCTACTGCTATATTATAAATACTTTTTTCAATTTCTAATTCTAGTTATAATGGAGACTATTACAGAAGTCCTCCAAACTGACCCTATATTCGCAAATGCTTGGATAGAATTTACAATGCCATCATAAACTTGCATACTAAGTTTAAGCAAAAGAAGACAGTTAGTGACCGTTGGCATCATCTTGGCGAAAACTTTGAAATGTTTGAAACAATCAGACTTTTTATACCTTTGACATTGGGGTCAAGGTCACAATGACTAAATGACAGTGTATTGCAAATTGTCTATGGGTGCTATACTTCAAGATTAATTTAGATATCCTTAACGATTTAAACGTTATAGCAAGATGTTCCTGAATAAATAACACATTTTTGACCTTTGACATCGGGATTATGGTCACAATAATCTAATGACAGTGCACTGCAGTCTCTGGAAGATGCAGGCATGCCTCAAATATCTTCAAGATATCTTTAACGGTTTTAAAGGTCTGACCCGGACAGAACGAGAACCAGAACCAGAAAAACAAGAACTACTAATACAAAATATCTCCATTCATTATAAGAGGAGATCAATAGCAACAACATGTTTTCCATCAAATATTTTGCTTTCTATTGGTTAATTTATATAAAATGATATAACAGATACATAAAGCCAAACATGAATACACTGTATCATCCAGCTGTTTCGTCCTTTTAGGAATCATTACTGATGCTAGGGGACAAACTGTTGAAATATAATAATGATGATATACATCATTTGATACAGTGCCCTATATCATTAACATAAGCCTCTCTAAAGCTCTTTACAGTACATAGATAGTAAATCAGCATATACATTAATGAATACAATTAAATATGTATGTGTACATACAATTAAATATGTATGTGTACATACAATTAAATATGTATGTGTACATAATGAAGTGTGTATATAATGAAGTGTGTCACTACTCAAAATAGATTTCTATCATCAATGTTACAGACAACCTTGGGGACTAATCATCTACCAGAAATGTCTACCACTTTGTATCTTGGACGATGACCGCAACACACGCACAGGTGATGGCACCTTTAACGGAGGAGTGTTTATAAGGCCCTTTTTTGGGCCCCAGTATATCCGGGTTTTCACCTCCTTAATTTGTTCAAAGATGTCCTTATGTTTTACATGCGCAAGAACTAAGGTAAAGATTTGACTGGAGGTGGGTTTTTGGGGTACCTAAAGGGGTAGGGTTAATCACAAATATAATTTTCTGTTTTCAAAATGAGCTCAAACAACCCAAATAATACCATTTCTATTGCTGAAAACATTTGTAAATTAAACAAGCATATATGAAAGAATGCAAAATGACCGAATTCAATGGTTACTTATAGGTTGTTTATATAAAACGGAGGATTAAGTCAGGGGGTTGATTTAGGTAATTTACAATGGAAAAGTGTTTTGTTTTCTCAATAATTTCCTTTCTAATTCATAGTTTGAGTTGAATTTTACAATTGTACTCCTTTTAGTACAAAGCCAAAAACGAATACAATGTATCATCCAGCTGTTTCGTCCTTTCAGGACTCATTACTGATGCTAGGGGCCAAACTGTTGAAAATGTAAATTGTATTAACTACTGAGGAAACAGGTGAGCGGGTACGTAAAGCCCATCAATTTAAAATTGTTAATCAATACTTGTAAATTTTAATTTTAAATTTGATAATAATAATAATAATAGACAACATTTGATATAGTGCCCTATCTCACTAACATAAGCCTCTCTAAAGCACTTCACAGTACATAGATATAAAATTAGCATATACATTAATGAATACAATTTAATATGTATGTACATATAATGAAGTGTGTATATAATGAAGCGTGTCACTACTCAAAATAGATTTCTACCATCAATGTTAAAGCCGACCTCGGGGACTAATCATCTACCAGAAATGTCTACCACTTTGTATCTTGAACGATGACCGTAACACACGCACAGTTAATGGCACCTTTAACGGAGGAGTGTTGATAAGGCCCTTTTTTGGGCCCCAGTATATCCGGGTTTTCACCTCCTTAATTTGTTCAAAGATGTCCTTATGTTTTACATGCGCAAGAACTAAGGTTAAGGTTTGACCGGAGGTGGGGTTTTGGGCTACCTAAAGGGGATTTTGTTTGTTTGTTTGATTTTGTTTAACGTCCTATTAACAGCTAAGGTCATTTAAGGACGGCCTCCCCTGTGTGCAAGATGCATGCGTGTAGTGTATGTGTGTGTATTTTGGGAGGCTGCGATATGTTCGTGTTTGTCTCCTTGTGATAGCGCGGAACTGATGCCGACTTTATAGTGCTACCCCACTGAAACATACTGCCGAAGACACCCAGCAGGACGCCCCACCCGGTCACATTATACTGACAACGGGCGAACCAGTCGTCCCACTCCTAACTTGCTGAGCGTTAAGCAGGAGTAGAAACTACCATTGTTAAAGACTTTGGTATGTCTCGGCCAGGGGACAGAACCCAAAGCCTTCCTCACAGGGACGAACGCTCAACAAATGGCCCAAAGTGAGGCATTGTCAAGGGAGACATTAGGAAGAAGAAAGTTATTTATAAAGGAGAGAAGAGATAAGGTCCCAAATTTAGTCGCCTCTTACAATCATGCAATTGGGGGCAGCAAGTACAATTCTTACGCCCTACCTGCAGAGCAGACCTAAAGACCTAAAGGGGAAGGGTAAATCAAAAATATAATTTGCTGTTTTCAAAATGAGCTCAAACAACCCAAATAAATACTATTTCTATTGTTGAAAACATTTGTAAACTAAACAAGCATATATCAAAGAATGCAAATGACAAAATTTAACTGTTACTTATAGATTATTTTATATAAAACGGAGGATTCAGTCAGGGGGTTGATATATGTAATTTACAATTGAAAAGTGTTTTGTTTTCTCAATAATTTCCTTTCTAATTCATAGTTTGGGTTGAATTTTACAATTGTACTCCTTTTAGTACAAAGCCAAAAACGAATACAATGTATCATCCAGCTGTTTCGTCCTTTTAGGACTCATTACTGATGCTAGGGGCCAAACTGTTGAAAATGTAAATTGTATTAACTACTGAGGAAACAGGTGAGCGGGTACGTAAAGCCCATCAATTTAAAATTGTTAATCAATACTTGTAAATTTTAATTTTAAATTTGATAATAATAATAATAGACAACATTTGATATAGTGCCCTATCTCACTAACATAAGCCTCTCTAAAGCACTTCACAGTACATAGATATAAAATTAGCATATACATTAATGAATACAATTTAATATGTATGTGTACATA